GGCCTCCCAAAGTGCTGGGATTACAGGCTTGAGCCACCGCGCCCGGCCTCCTTTTTTTTGGAAACAGTGTCTCCTTCTGTCATTCAGGCTGGAGTGCGGTAGCACGATCTTGGCTCACTGCAGCCTCCACCTCCTGGGTTCAAATTCTCATGTCTTATCCACCCAAGTTGATGGAATTACAGGTGTAATTTTTAGTAGAGATGGGTTCTTGAACTCCAGGCCTCAAGTGATCCTCCTGCCTTAGCCTCCCAAAGTGCTGGGATTACAGGTGTGAGCCACTATGCTGGCCAAAATATACATTCTGAGAGTCCTGTTATTAATGAGCCACATGACTAGTTTGGGAGACATAGTGAGACCCCATCTCGACAAAAGCAGAAAATGAGCTGGGTGTGGTGGTGAGCACCGTGGTCTGAACTACGCTGGAGGCCAAGGTGAGAAGACTGCTTGGCCAGAGTGAGACCCTGTCTCAAAAACATGAAAACAACAAAAAAACACTCACCAGTTCTAGCGCATTTCTGTTCAGCAGCTCCACTAAAACTTGAGAAATTCCTTAAGTACGTATGAGAACCAACTTTAAACCCAAATTAATTATGAGATAAATCTGTACAGGCTAAAAAGACAGGCATAAAAGCCTGTTGGGTAAAGTTGGGAAGAGGCCGCAGACTCAGGCTGAGGCCCCGATGCTGACCGTGACTCAGTGAATTGTCTGGGCACACAGACCCCACCATTTCCCACCTATGTGGGCACGAATATGATAAGGGAGGGGCAGGGCAAGCTCCCTGAAAAGAAGATGTCATTGGGAATGAAGGAACTATGAGTGACGGAAATATGCGTGCTTGGCTGCCTCATGGAGTGGCCAAATAGCTAACATGGATCCGTGAGAGTTAATTAATTTTTCATGTTCCTCTGAAGTCCAAATACAATGAGAAAAATATGCTTTTAAAAAAAGGATCAAGATATGCAGAGAAATGAACACATGTGAAAAATGGCAAAAGGCCCATGGTCTAGTAGTGACCTGCACTGGACCAGTGCTGGCCCATATCAGACCACACTGCTGGAG